TGATTTTTGACTCAGGAGCTCAAGCGGAAGGGTTGAAGATGTTCAGCAACGCAAGGCTCGGAGGATTAATGTGCATACGCGACAAAGTTCAAGGTCGATCTATGCCATGTGGCGTCACTCAACGAACTTTAGTTTCGTTGCTATATCAATAGTCCCGATACTTTTTGATCAAGTCCGTTCAGATTTTTTTCGTTTACGTATTTCTTTTTCTTTTATCTAATAGTAAAACATGGTGTGCCGAATAATGTCAGACGTTATGTAATACATATATATATATATATATATATATATATATATATATATATATATATATATATCGAGTGACTTTAAAACTTCATCTGAACATATGGTCTTATTAATTTCACTTACATGCGCTCAGTATTCCCGCAAAACTTACTTGAACGTCTTCACGTAAAACATCGAAAGATCAGCGCACATCCTTCCCTGACCTTAGATCAAGACGCTGAGCCGTTGGTAGGTATTAGTAAAGAAATCTAAGAAAGCCAAATGTCGAATGTAAGACAGTCCAGTCAGTCGGCAGCCAGAGCTTAAATAAATAAAAAAAAAAGCTAAAATATATGTCTTCTTTTGTATCGATGCATAAAGATTAGACAGGGAAAAAATAATGTTAAAATTTCCGTCCGATATCTCCTTTCAACTTGGCGAAGCTAGCACACTTCTGTTTGAGCGTAGGTAAATGCATTTGGAATGCTGATTTTCTAGATAAGTTCTCACAACTTCGAAAATTTGTATATACATATCCGCAATTTATTAAACTGCAACTGGAACTATTTAAAAATAGTGGTCCTGTGCGTAAAATAAAATGGGAATTCTCATTTTTATCATTTTTATCACTGCTGTAACTTAGGGAATGTTATTGAATAGAATAATCGCACGAAGGTTGATAATGAACGATAATACTTAGGACAAGAACAATACATACAAGATTCGCCAGCAGAGCGTAGAAGAAGTAGTCAAATGCTGGAAGTGAGTCAAGTGAATTCCACAATGAGTCCCCAACTGCAGGATATCTACCAACCGCCGTACGCGTTCATATGTAGCAGAAGGCCGAATTTAATGTAGGGTATCCGAGCCCGTAAACTCAGTCAAAAATTCCCTGTAGACCTTTTATAAAACGGGGTCGGGTAACTGTTTTCCGAGACGAAACTCTACCCTTCGACGTAGCCTCGTCTGGGGATCCTCTCTGCCCGGGGGTAGAGAGGTTGACCAGTACAGCTGGAGACGAATCTCCAACTGCAGACCAACATACAGTATTTACTACTGTATTTATGGGAAAGGGGTCATACCCATTCTCGTACGTAGGAATGATACAACAAGCACCCCTCCCTAGTACTTTGAACAAGAATAGAGGTTCATCCTTTTTTTTTTTTTTTGTTGTTGAAAATTGAGTTTGCGGGTTTCCAAACGTTTTTGCTTGTCTTTCAATTCCGGTGTCCCTTTGCGTATAGTTGACATTATCACCTTGCTTAGAGTGGCGCCTCTTAATCTATATCCCTCTACCTCGAGTGGCTCTTGGATCTTGCAACATTGTAAGCGTGTATTTCATACAAAGTGAGGAAGTAAAAACATTAAGATACAAGAGCTTACTGAATTTGAGAGAAAATGGGAAAATGCATTATAGAATCAATAAAAGAAGACGAAAATTACAAAAATCCTTTAACATGACGTTTTGTGATGTTTCACGGCTTCGGTTGTCACACGTTATCACTTCCAAAAATGTTCGTTATCGAGACCTCGTGGACGCCGGTAACGCCTTTCAATAATATCCGCACTAGTCATACTTGGTCAAGTAGTAATCGCCAAATATTATAATGATCAGAAGAGAATCTTAATCCATATAGTAATAGAGTAGAGAGAGCGAACGTATAGAAATTTTGTTGTATTTATCTTAAGCTAGTAGATTATTATTATTATTTTTTTTTTATGGTTCAGGTTAGGACCAAGGAAGAACAAAACGAACACAAGAGTAGAAATAACGAAGGTATATTACACGAAATAATAACACAATATGTGGAAGGTGTTAGTATGACTGTCAGTCTGGTTTGGAGTGAACTACAATCGGCTCGACTCGATTCGTCCCTCTCTCTTGAGAGGCGTAGTATACATAGTTTTAGGAAGAGTTCATTCTCTAGTTATAGGTAAGGACCCATGACAGTTTTGTTTTTACTTTTGATGTATCTAGCCACCATCCTCAACAGGAAACCCAGGTGGGGCAAACAGTTTAAGCAACGATGCGTCCACCATGTGGCATGTAATAGTATCTATCTATCTCTGTCTGTCCATTATCTCTCTATCTATCTATCTATCTATCTATCTATGTTTTTTGTTATGGTCCAAGTTTAGGACCAAGGAAGAACAACACGAACACAAGAGTAGAAATAACAAAAGTATATTACACAAAATAATAATACAAGATGTGGAAGGTGTTAGTATGACTGTCAGTCTGGTTTGGAGTGAACTACTATCGGCTCGGCTCGATTCGATATTTACTTGCCCCCTCACGAGGGAAAGATGTGGCACAAGGCCGAGTTTTACGCGGGTTTTCAGAGCCCGTAGGCTCGGCCAAAAAATGCCCGTAGAAAATGTTAAAACAGAATCGGGTTGGTCAACCTCCCCGAACGAGACTCTGCCCTTTGGCGGAGCCTCGTCCGGGTTCCTCTCTGCTCAGAAGCAGATAGTTCAACCGTCAAGCCAAGAAGCACGGCTTGAATCGGTATCTAGCACCCCCCCAGAGTTAAACGGGGTTGCAGCCTGTAGGCTCGGCAAAAAATGCCCGTAAAAACTGTTAAACAGAATGGGTTTCCCCGGAGCCCCTTAGGCTCGGCCAAAAAGTTCGCCCGTAAAAACAGGCTAAAAATCTAGCCACCCCCCACGAATCGGGTTGGTCAGCCCGTAGGCCTCCCCGAACGAGAGATGGGTGCCCCCGAACGAGATTTGGCGGAACCTCGTCCGGGTTCCTCTCTGCTCAGAGGCAGAGAGTTCGACCATCAAGTCGAGAAGCTCGGCTCGATTCGACCCTCTCTCTTGAGACGCGCAGTATACATAGTGTTAGGAAGAGTTCATTCTGTAGTTATAGGTAAGGACCCATGACATTTTTATTATTATTATTTCCGTTATTTTATTATTATTATTATTTCTTTATTCTTTTTTTCTTATTTATGCTGGATTACGCGTTGAAACACCGGATCCCGTACGATCACCGGATTTAAGCAAAGTCACGCCTGGGCAGTACCTAGTTGGGTGACTGATTGCAAATACCAAGTGCTGTGAAATATCTATTTGTAATTTATTTACAAAATATGGCACAAGGTCAAAATGGTGGATGGGGAAAAGGACGGTCTTGTTCTGTCTTAACTTTAAACTTAGCTAACCTTAAACACTGACCCAAACATACAACAGTATTCCTTACACCAAACAACGAATTCTTACTTACCATTCTTATTACATCCCCCATAATACCACATTGTCTCTTTGAAAGTCTCAACTAGTCCCCATTTATAAAATATATTGTCAGTGATGGGGAGGGGAATAAAATGACAGTTTAAAAATCTAAATCCCAATGAATATTTACAAAATGTACAAAATATATTTACAAGAAACTAAACAAAATAATATTCGTAATAATAACGCCCACAATCCCTAAATGTGGGAGAACCATCAGTTAACTGGACGAAATTAATGCTGGACTTTAATAATATAAAAACATTCAATAAACCCCAAGCACTCACTCAAAACATACACACATACAAACACAACAAATAAGAAATTCACGCCCGAAACGAAAGGCGTCCCGTATCCACCAGATAACTGATATCACTGACCCCTAATGAGGGAGGGGACTCGGAATTAAACTAAAGAAAAATGGGGACAGAAATAAAAGGGGCTTATGAGCATATATCCCCTAGCTGGAATTAAGAATCTAAACAGGCAAAAAGAGCCCTAAACTAACTGAATTCGGGCGGGGTTAGCCTATGTTCAACACAGAGAGAACAATATCCTGATGTCTAATCGGCATCAAAGTGCCACTCCAAATCAGCCCCGCTCACAGAGGAAAGAGAGATCGGTTAATCAATATGCTACTTCCTATTTCCTTGATGATCACGTGATCTACTTAATAATGTAATCGCCTGTGTTACTCATTGGCGATCTAGTTTCTAAACTTGAAAACCGTGGAAACTAAAGAAAGAAGGAAAGTAATTGTAACGCCTTTCAATAATAGCCGCACTAGTAATACTTGGTCAAGTAGTAATTGCCAAATAGTATAATGATCAGAAGAGAATCGTAATCCGTAGTGTAGAAAGAGTGAACGTATAGCAACAGTGGATAGACAAAAAGGAGTGAACATTGATCATCCCGTTAATTCGTATTTATTCACTTTATTTATGATCACTGATCTACTTAATAATGGAATCGCCTGTGTTACTCATTGGCGATCTAGTTTCAAACCACAGTATCGGCAACGACACTTACTCTTATACAACATAATGGAATGTGAAACGCTGCGTTATTTTCTGTTCTTCATTATTTTCTTTTATAATTCTCTCCCATTCATTTTTTTTCGTATTCTCTCACAATCCGTAACCCTTTGCATCTTATTAACTTTATTGCTTTGCTTGTCCAATCATAAACTTACTGATCCACATAAAGTGATTTTAGAATTATCAGAGAAAAAAAAAAAACAGATATACCACTTTTTTGATTTCCAGATTTTCGTTACGATTTTATCAGCTCTTAAATCCATCATTAATGCTGATTATATTATTGCTGTCAAAATGATTCTGTGCATCTTTTCATGTCGGCTGGACACAGGATACCCCAACTCTACAGTCTGCAGATGAGTAATACTTCCTCTCACTTATTTGCGGGTCCTGGGTAAAACGATAAACACCATCCGGCAGCAAGGCGACTGATTGGGAGAATTTGCGGTGCGTGGTACCAGCTCTTAATTGATGTTGTTTCCCTGCCCCATAGTGGTAGCACTTTTTAGAATCCCGACTACTAGCAAATAGTTAACACTAGAAAAGTATAAAAATACATTTTTATAGTAAAAAATACTAGCAATACATATTTTCATAGTAAAAAAAAAAAAAATACCAGAAATTTATTTTTGTAAAAATTAAAAACTACCAGCAATATTTACAAAAGAAATTACTACCCAATAAAATTAAATTTCGTGATTAAATGTCTGATGAGTTGATATCCTGCTAAACAAATCAAATATTTCCAGATTTCGGTATAAATCCGATCTCTGCGTTTTAGAATGTAGTTTAAACCGTGCCTATGGCTACGTTTTGTTTAAAACAGACTCATGTCTACATTTCCGAATTTAGTGTTAAATATTTAATTTGTGATAAAACAGAATGTTTTGCTCGTAAATTCTCTTCCACTTCTACTCTTGACCCATCTGGGGTGTCTTTGCCTGATTTATATCCTACTCTCTATTAAATGATAGGCATATAACCCCGTTCATGTTTTCTATAATTTCTAAGCTTCTGAACTTGATGGCATCTCTGCAATAGGCTTTAAGAAATTGGCTCCTCTTGCTCTCTCTAAACTCTACAATAAATTCCTTATTTCGTCTTTCTGGCTTCTTGGAAATCTACTTCTGTAGTTCCACCCTTTAAGAACGTATGCGAGCCGGCTGATCCTTCTAATTATGGGTCTTCTACAAGTTTTTGGCAAAGTACTAGAAACGCTAATAAACTCAGATTTGCTTAATGTCTGTCAATTTAAAATATTATGTAGCTTTAAACGGATTAACAAGTAAGATTATTATCTAATCTCCTCTTGATCTTTCTCTTATCAACTCTGAATTTCCCAAGCATCTTACCTCGTAGGTTCTTCTTTCGGTTAAGCAATATGGCTTTCACTTCACTAGGTCAACTGCTGGTGTATTTACAATTATTGCTGAAACAGTCTATCAAGCCTTACGACTAGTAAACCTTGGGCTGTTGCTTTAGATATCTTGAAGGCATTTGACAGGCTTTGTCAAATTGGTTTTCTTCACGAGTTGAAAGCTTATGCTATTTTTGGATGAATTTTGGAACTGATTCAATCTTTCTTATCAAAAAAATAAAAATGAAAGTTGTCTTCAATGGCCACTCTTCTGTATCTGTCTATATTTCTGAGATGAGGTATTATGTACACTATTTATATTATTCGGACTATTGTTCTCATCTTTTTGCCATATTTATTACAATGTTTCTGACATTGTACGCGCCGGCCATCTTCAGTTAGTTGGAATGTCGAACTAAACCTTTTATTTCACTCTCTCTGGTTGACTGTTCTAGTTCCACGTGCCTTATCTAATAGATGCCAGTTATCAGTTATCTTCTGCAATTAGATTTACCTATTGTAGATAATTCAAATAGTAATGATATTATTAAAGTCCTACTTTATGACTATCTATGTTTATTTGAATGTGGTCATTCCATTCATACTTTGAGTTTGATAGTTAATGCTGTCGAGTGAATTTAATGTCTGTCAATTTGAAATACTATGTAGTTTTGAAACAGATTAACTAGTGCGATTATTAGTCTAATCTCCTCTTAATCTTTAATCTTTCTCTAAACAACTCTGAATTTCTCAAGCATCTTACCTCGCAGGGACTTCTTTCACATAAGCAATATGGCTTTCACTTCTCTAGGTCAACTGCTGGTGTATTTACAATTATTGCTGAAACAGTCTATCAAGCTTTAAGACTAGTAAACCTTGGGCTGTTGCTTTAGATATCTCGAAGGCATTTGACAGGCTTTGTCAAATTGGTTTTCTTCACGAGTTGAAAGCTTATGCTATTTTTGGATGAATTTTGAAGCTGATTCGATCTTCAAAAATCTAAATGCAATGTCAATTGTCATTTGTCTTAAGTTCTGTTTTTTGTTGGTCTTCACAACTTTAAATTTGTTTCTGAACAAATTTTTGAACTGATTCAGTGTTTCTTATCAAATCACGATAGGTTGTCTTGAACGGCCACTCTTCAAGATCGTTTCTGGATTAATCCATTTTTCCACAGTGTTCTATCGTTGGACTTACGTTATTCTTAATTTTTATCAACGACATTCTTAATGCCGTCAGTTCTCAAATCGGTATCTGTACTCATGACACATGTGCTTACTCATGTCTTAATAATAAGTCTGATAGATTCGATAACGCTAGATTGATAGTTGATCTAACAATGACTTGAAATTTGTTGTTAAATGGGGTAAGAAATGGCTCGTTAAATTTAATGCCTGTAAAAGGAAACTGCTCTCTTTTTCTCTGGGAGAACACATTATGAATTCCATCAGAATGGCTAATGCTAACCCCTAGAAGAATGATCCATTGCATCTTCCCGGACTAACATCTTTCGCCGACATGAAGAGGAAAGATTATATTGAATCAATTGCTAGGATTAATGATAGAAAAATTTGTTTACTATTCACATGTCCATTGAAGAAGATTGTATCAAATTGTTAATAAACATCAAATTTAGGAAATTAAGATTTCGACTTTTCTTTATTTGTTTTCTATAAAAAGATTAAAAAAAACATATTGTAATTTCCCATATAATTAAGATGATAATATACATCCAAAGAAGAAACAGTAATGTTATTTCTTCTGACCTGGCGTTTCGACTTCAGTCACTTTTCCCACCGTCATAATGAAGCTTTTTCGATAAATAATTTCACAGCTATGACACGTACACATTATGAATGTAAGCGCACTATTATATTTGCAACAAGTTCTCACCAATTTATTGTTGAATTCGCAACAAAGTTTCACTAATTTACTGTTGAATTGGGAACAAGGTCTCACCAATTTACTATTGAATTGGCAACAAGGTGGCACCAATTTATTGTTGAATTGGCAACAAGGTCTCAACAATTTACTGTTGAATTGGCAACAAGGTCTCACCAATTTACTGTTGAATTGGCAACAAGATGACACCAATTTATTGTTGAATGGGCAACAAGGTCTCAACAATTTACTGTTGAATTGGCAACAAGGTGACACCAATTTACTGTTGAATTGGCAACAAGGTGACACCAATTTACTGTTGAATTGGCAACAAGATCTCACCAATATACTGTTGAATTGGCAACAAGATCTCACCAATTTACTGTTGAATTGGCAACAAGATGGCACCAATTTACTGTTGAATTGGCAACAAGGTCTCAACAATTTACTGTTAAATTGGCAAAAAGGTCTCACCAATTTACTGTAGAATTGGCAACAAGATGGCACCAATTTACTGTTGAATTAGTAAAAAGGTCTCATCAATTTACTGTTGAATTGGCATCATGGTCTCACCAATTTATTGTTGAATTGGCAACAAGGTCTCACTAATTTACTGTTGAATTGGCAACAAGGTCTCACCAATTTACTGTTAAATTGGCAAAAAGGTCTCACCAATTTACTGTTGAATTGGCAACAAGATGGCACCAATTTACTGTTGAATTGGTAAAAAGGTCTCATCAATTTACTGTTGAATTGGCAACAAGGTCTCACCAATTTACTGTTAAATTGTCAAAAAGGTCTCACCAATTTACTGTTGAATTGGCAACAAGATGGCACCAATTTACTGTTGAATTGGTAAAAAGGTCTCATCAATTTACTGTTGAATTGGTAAAAAGGTCTCACCAATTTACTGTTGAATTGGCAACAAGATGGCACCAATTTACTGTTGAATTGGCAAAAAGGTCTCATCAATTTACTGTTGAATTGGCATCAAGATCTCACCAATTTATTGTTGAATTGGCAACAAGGTCTCACTAATTTACTGTTGAATAGGCATCAAGGTCTCACCAATTTACTGTTGAATTGGCAAGATTAAAGTTTTATGCTAACAGTTTCTCATCTCGCACTTCTCGCTTTTGGAAATCTGTTCCAGCTTCATATATTCCAAACAAATTTGATCTTTAAAAAATATTAATTCATTGTTAATTGTTATCTACTGTCTTCTTGATTCCTCTTCTTTTATTCGTCTGGCTCCTAAATAATCTTACACTTTTTTTCTTAATAATTTCACAATCAGTAACTCCGTGTTGTCTTAGTGGCTTTACTGTCTTGCTTAGAGTGAAATGATTAAAAAAAAAAACAACAACAACAAAAAAAATAAATACATAAAAAGTAGCTTTCTAGCTTTAGAAATTAATTTTATTCCTTTCTTGAATGTTGGCGCGCAATTTCATGAAAAAATTTCGCCGAGGATTAAACATTAAAAAATAAAAATAATCGTAGCCAATAAAAGCGAGCCGAGTTCTAACGACAGGTTAGATAAGAGGAAGAAGCCCCTCTTACATGTCGAGTTCCATGATTTATCTGATCATGGATTAAATGCCTGTGGTTTTATTGCAAATTAAAGCCTACCAAATATATATTCAAAAGAAAGGAACTTTTAGTATCGATTTCATGATTTGATAGCGACGCTAGAATTTCTTTGTGGATATTTTCATCACATTTAAACCACTTTTAATATCTAAATCCGAGATAAGGACAATATAAAGTAGTTTTACGACCAATCTTGCAAAATGGTTGATGGTTCGATTTATAGAGACGTTAATATATATTTAACCAATGACAAAACATATAAAACGATTTTATATGCATTTCTATCTCATATTCACGTAATATGTACGAAGCAGGTCTAGGCGAGAAATGGGCGAGTCAGGTTCAAATCCTAATCGCGTTCATTGCATTTAATCTCGGAGAAATATATATATATATATATATATATTTATATATATATTTGGTTTGTTTAAATTTTGGGACATATTTGTTTGCAAATATGGGTAAATAGCAGGACAGACCCAGTTCTATAAGTTTGAATGTCAACTGGTGTACCTCAGAAAGAAATGGCAACATACTGCGGGAATAAATATCTGCCTTGTCAGTCATCTATCGAAAGATACATGATTGCTTAAGCGTGTATCACGCATGGCATATAACTGACTGTCTCTGATGGTTAAGAAACTTGTCTCGCTAGATAAACTACAACTGAATATTGAATGAAATTCTCACTTGATAAGACACCGATGGTGTTGAAACAAAATGCCTATTTTTGTAGTGATTTTATAACATATTTATGTTATAATTTTTTTTTATAAAAAATAATTATATATATATATATATATATATATATCACCAAACTTTACTTCAATACTACATGAACTTCCAGTCATTAGCTATGGTTAAGTAATAATGAATATATCATTTTCATTTATGATCGAATTCATCACGAATCTTCTGTTAGTCTTGGAGAGTAATTATATGATCTTATTACTCAAAGTAGAGTTGAATAGTGTAATAAAACCTTGTTGAATTCAAGTAAGATATCTTTGAACATTGCTAAGACAAAACCATCCAAAACTTGATCTTACAAATAGATAATTTTGATTTTACACGATTTGGAAAATTTTGCCTGTCTTATATATTTGGTTGGATTGATGTGGGTTTGTGACCCTGGGTTTCACGCTTTTACGATCGTCAGACAAACTTATATTTATATACACACACTTTTCACACACACACACACACACACACACACACACACACACACACACACACACACATATATATATATATATATATATATATATATATATATATATATATGCATGTTTCATTAAAAACGACAGACAAGGTACTACGGTTGATCTTTTTATTTAATTTTTCTTGTGTTCTGACAAGAGCTTTCTTTTCTGGACAAAGAGTGTGTAAGAACTGTCCGAATGTTCTGTGTGTTAAGAGTCGGCTTTTTCTTTTTTATTATTAGAGCTTCCATTATTTTTAGTCTTTTTTTTCAAGTGGATACAGATAATATATTTGTGTTTTCTATTAGTATGTTCCATTATAGTGTCTATTTTGTAAATCTGAGTGTGTGTTTAAATGTGTTCTGATGGAACTGTGATCAGATAGGTGTAATGTAAGACGTCTGGATAAACATGTGGTTGTGTAGCCGATGTAATTTTTTATTTATTAACAATATTAACTATGAACAAAGCCACAATGTGCTAACCGTATTCGGAAACTAAAAACATCACTACCACACACTGAACATACACAGAACGCACACACTCTACTAAGCTGATAATTGAATCATCCTTGATAATGGCTAAAGGTATAGCCGAAAGCGCTCGGAAATACAGAACATTCGGACAGTTCTTACACACTCTTTGTCCAGAAAAGAAAGCTCTTGTCAGAACACAAGAAAAATTAAATAAAAAGCTCAACCGTAGTACCTTGTCTGTCGTTTTTAATGATACATGCATAAAGGAAGGATTGCTGCCTAAATATACAAATATATATATATATATATATATATTCGAAAATTATAACATAAGTATGTGTTATGCCATATTACCTATTCTATTGTAATGGACTCTCCCATAGATAATAAGTAGGAGTAGCAGTGGCAAGTCTGGTAGAATGGTGTTGAGCGCGTCAGTCGAGATTCGGACATTTGAAGTACCAACCATCACAACTAGATTGCTGCGCCATTGACTCTTATTTTTCCAAGTTTCTAACGTTTTGTACGTCGGACCTAATTTAGGACGACTTATTAGAAATACAAGCCTCCACTGTGAAAATACTCAACAACAGTATGTTATAAAATCACTGCAAAAGTAGCCATTTTGTTTCAACACTTCTGCTGTCTTATCAAGTGATGGCGTTGAATGTAGAATAAAGGGTTCCAAAAGGTCCAAATAGACGAAACACCTCTCGATAGGGGAAACGCTTTTGGGTGAAATACAATGACCAATCAAAATACAAATATATGAGAATTCTAAAAGCTTGACAACGAACCTTATTTATAATAATTAATGTCTCAATGTTAGGGTTAGACTAAAATAACAAATTATGATATTTAATATTAAATTCAAACTTTATAATTTTATTATTATAAAATTGAAATTTTATAATATAATTTAATAATAAAATCTATCTATCTATCTATCTATCTATCTATCTATATATATATATATATATATATACTAATATTACCAATATCTATCTATCTGTCTAAATATATATATATATATATATATATATATATATATATATATATATATATATATATATATATATATGTAATCTTTTTATGCAGGTACCATTCTTGTAGAACCAGAATGGAAATGAAATCTCCGATGTGGATTATGTAGAGGAAGTTGGTGTCTGTAGCAAAATCTTACACTTCCATCCCACACCCCTTTACATCTCACTTTCCTTCTCATTTCCCCGTTTCCAACCCCCTCCAGATTCTGTCATCTAACCCTGCTCTTTTTTGTCGACGTTCATTTTTTTTTTTTTTTTCTCACAATCCTTCCACCTTGACATCAGATGAACGCTGCCACTCCATTCTCGCGATCTGTGTACCACGTGGTTGTCTCTTTTTACACGTGACTCACGCTCCCTCGCTGATGAGAGTGATTAATACATCCGGTGAACACATGGTAAGGACTGAGAGTAAGCGGGAGGAAGGGGAGGGGAAAGAAGAATAGGGAAGAGTAAAAGAAGGTCGTTCTTGGTTATCGCCCTTGGCGCCGATTCATTCCGTTCTTTCGTGTTTTTTTTTTCTGTCTTCTCTTCAACAGTGACGATGTCACTCAGCGTGGCGAGGTTGATTTCGTATTTCTGTTTCACTTCATTCCCTGTATTTTTCACTTTCTACTGTTCTCCACCTCTTCATCTTTTCATATAGGAGGTGTGAGGGGTTGGGGGCAAAATGCAAGTAAGTATTTTCTAAATATATACATTCTAACAGTCCCTCGATATTTCTGTCTATTCACCCAATCATAGGCTGTAAGATCCAGAAAGTGCTTTAATCTCCAGATCACCACAGTAAATTTGCGTCCATGTTCTTACAATATTGCATCTTTCTCTATCAGAGTTTAGTATATTTAATAACAAAAATGATTAAAAAAACATTAGTAAAAACAAAAAAAAATGAAGGGAAATGAAAACAAATTTAAAATTTCAGCGCCCTTTCTTCGTGAGAATCGGTATCGCATGGCGTTCATCAAGTTAGTCCGATAAAGTCCTATAATCTTTTTTTCTACCCTGTCAGAGATAAACAGATATATTAGGCTGGCGAGAAAAAAAAATGTACACACACAAAAAAACGTATGACAATAATATGTATATATATATACATATTATTGTCATACGTTTTTTTATATAGGCAGAAATATTTAAGTAAATGTGGTGTTTATAATAAACAGTACTAATCGGCCTGAATGTCTGAGAACTTTTCATAGAAAATATGCGACCTCCAACAGGAATCGAAACTGTATCCTTCACAGAACCTCCATATAGCCTGACCCGCTATACTAGTTTAGCTACAAAAGAACGTCTGCTTAACAAGGTCGATTTATTGCTTTTAAACTAATAAAACCTTGAACGATGAAAAGGAATATATATATATATATATATATATATATATATATATATATATATATATATATATATATATATATATATATATATATATATATACATTGTTATACGTTATTTATATAGACACAAATATTTAAGTAAATGCTCTGTTTAAAATAAACTGCATTAACACCATTTACCGGCCTGAATATACGAGAAATCTCATGGAAAATTTGCGCCCTCCGGCAGGAATCGAACCTGTATCATACACGGAACTCTCATGTAGCCTGATGTGCTATACCAGTTTGGCTACAAAGGAGCATCTGCTTAGCAAGTTCGATTTATTGCTTTTAAACTAAAAACTTCCCATGATTTCTCTCGAACGATCATATCTGCTCGAAGCTTATCTAAACGTAAACAAATGACGTCACACATTAAGAAATGGACAAAACCCGACAATTATTTTGTAATATATTTTGTTCTTATACGTTATTTACATATTTATTTATTCAGGCCGTAAATGTTGTTAATACTGTTTATAATAAACAAAGCATTTACTTACATATTTGTGCCCATATAAATAACGTATAACAACAAAATATATTCGAATAATTGTCATATTTTGTCCATTTCGTAGCTCGTATACATATACATATACATACATTGTGTATATTTTAACTCTACATTTAAATGATAACTCTAACATTTTTAGACATTTAAAACAACATGCCTGGCCGCATACACAATTCCGGAAAATCCTTGTTGAAAACACAACTATACTTAAACATGAAAACAATAAACAAAAAATAAAAATTCTTGAAGCTCTATACATAAAACAGTTGAAACCTAACCTGAACAAAATAAATTATGAAATCTCCACAAATATACTTAAATGATTATAATTTATAACAGAAGCCATTGGTTTATACCAATAGATTCCCATACTTAATACGTCTCGTTTTTCACTCTGGTGTGGTCATGTGTGATGTCACGCGCTGCGACGCGATTCTCGCTTCCGCGTCTCGTATATACTAGTTTGTCGTGACTTGGAAATTTTTCATGCAGCAAGGGCGGACTATTATTGTGGTTTCGTCCTAGTGTTGTTTGATTTATTGAACTCGTCATCTTTGATAATGGCTTATGTAAGCCGAAAGCTTAGATTAGATTTAAACATGTATCAATATGGTGTCTTCCTTTCGTCTTTCAACGATAATGTGATTAAGCTTATCAGACAATATGAAAGGAACTTACTTAAAATATATAGACAAAACTTGTCTATATTATTTACTGAAACATGCATCAATAATAATAATAGTAATAATGATATATATATACATATATATATATATATATATATATATATATATATATATATATATATATATATTTAAAGTCATTTTTATGTTTAACATTCTTTTTATAGATACAAGTATTTAAGTAAATGCTCTGTTTATAATAAACAGTATTAAATAACATTTACCGGCCTGAATGTCCGAGAAATATATATATATATATATATATATATATATATATATATATATAATATTGGATTTTCGACTATCAAACCGAGGTTCAAATGTTATCATAGTTGAATTGTCATGGGGATGAAGCCTTGATATTATCGGCGTCACCTGAGTTGTTAAGACTTACACTGATATAACGTTTGTGAGAGGTAATAGTTTCCAGAAATCTTTGTCAGCTTTCGATGGTTGTGCTAGCACAAAGTCCCAAGTCATCGTGACCGAGATTTTCAGCGTAGAGCCTTTGTCAAAAAAATGTTATTCACGCCTGATTATGCCTTCTTTCTCATAAACTGTAACTAAATTCTACTTAGCATAGCAACAGTATAAATTTACATTTTACTTTGTGAGCGTTGAAAATCAACAAATATGCCTGAAAGGGCGTCTGTAACAGGATGAAATTGTGAATGTCTGATTCATAATGACAACAAAACAAATAAAAACTACAGATAAAGTTCACTTTCTTAAGAAACAGTCATTCACTCCTGTTGTTCACAGCTACTAACAAGCAGGGATTTTTTCTCCTGATGATGGTCATACTGGCCGAAACCTGTCGAGGAAACTAATTGAGAGAATAAAACAAAAAATATATTAATATTAGTGTATCTAAAAATGTTAACTTTTAACTGTCCAATATATATATATATATATATATATATATATATATATATATATATATATATAAATCAGCTCAAATACAGAACAAATATGGATCGGAATCCAACAGATGATAAAGATAAAAAATAAGACATGTATCTCAATCTAATATTTTTCCGTTTTATTAAAGCTTCGTCAGAGACTGAGAAAAACAGATAAAAGGACAGAAAACACTGATGTTTGGTCAGTTTTCATTGTTCAGAAACGTGTCACGTGTATGAAAACCCTGGATACTTCCCTACTTTGTGAAGATTCTTGTATGTCTAAGTGGGCATCGGATGGCAATATCTACTCGTAATTGTGTTAGTGTGATTGTCTAGTTGTTTTTATCTTCACCTTTGCATGGTCAACCCTCGTAGCCGGGAGTCGCAGAATCCTAGTTTATGGCTCGCATCTTTAAGAAGGTATTCTTTCTATTAGATAGATATAAGTTAGATTCTTTAAGAATAGATTCAAAGAAAGATGGCGATGAAATGTAATGTTTTAGGTGTGGGAAGGAACCTTGAAATGTTGCTTGTTGGGGACTAACCTCGGCCTCGACAAGATAACCAATACTGTACATGAAAAGATTCACATTATCAAATAAACTGATAATAAAAGTAATGAAAGCATTTCTACCTCATATATTATTGGCATAAAATTTTGAAGAATAATTCCTTATCAATGAAATGCAAGCTCATCTGAGAAAATGTAAATACATGAGTATGACTTCGTTCACAGCAACGTAGGGTAACATTATCATACATTATCGTACTGTTATTGGCGGTATTTTGTTATTGTCGATGAAGTATAAGTGAATGGCTATTAGTACACCAGTCTGTTTCTAACTGATTAAATATAGGAAAAGAAGAGCAAGGAGAAGAATCCGAATTCACAAGAGATCACAAAACGTAAACTAAATATATCCCTTTTAGGGAACCGGTGTAGAAAAAACATGATATTTTGAATATCTAACGATTCGTTAAGGCAAAACATTTCCAATAACACCATTATTATAATCAATAATAAGCAGTCGTCCTATACTACAGGTGTAGGATAAATTCATGAAAATCTGCTCTATATTCTTACCCCGAATTATCTAAAGGTCGCCTTATACGCGAAAATAAACGGTATATATATATATATATATATATATATATATATATATATATATATATATATTAGATCGTCTATTTTGTGTGTATGTCACCACAAAATGTATCCTTTCCGGTTACATCTTTAATGTATTAGACATCCGACAACATTCATATTTCTCTCACTTAAACCGTCTTTGACTCCCCTCTCTAAAACTTCTCTCTGTTAAATTTTAATCCCCCACCTTCTCTCGTCTGTTACCCCACTCTTTAGCTCTCACATTCGTCCAACACTCTCATGCTTACACTTTCTATAATTTTATTTTTTATTTCCGGAGTTGTTTTTTTTTTGTTTTGTTTTCTTTTTGAATTTGTAGGTCCGATGAAGGATCGTATTTACGATTCAAATGGAATAAATTATGACCATGGGATATTAATGTTTAAGCCTTTTTATTATATCCTTACTCTGTCCTGGACATTGAGTTCTACCTGGATTATATCCTCTTGGAATTTTTGTATAAAAATATATATATGTATGTGTATGCATGTATGTATACATATTTATACATTTTGCATGTGTATGTGTATATTTACCACTAATATATATATATATATATATATATATATATATATATATATATATATATATATATATATATATATAAATTAAATAATTAAGAAAGAGACGACCTTAAGGTTCTAGGACTCTAATTTATTTCCCCAGAAACATATTTTTCCTTGTTCATCAGGTCACATATGTAATTACAAAAGAATTTGGTTTCTTTACTACAACCTTACTATATGTATATATACATATATATAATGCAAAGTTCTTCAGCAAAATGAATTTGGAGCACTCCGACGGATTGGCGTTTG